TCGAAACTGTAAAATTATCTAATATGACGAAGGTTAAATGTTGCTGGTAACAAAATTGTTGCTTTGTAATCACTGCGACATAGAGACAGTGTCTTTTCCAAAGCGCGTCGGTATGCAGGGTAAGAATGAATCAATCGGTTTTCAATATTGACTTTCACCCTGTCTACAATACAGCTGCATTTAATCAAATTGTGTCATTTGCATGTCATTTACATTCTATCTTCATTGTGTTACCGATATATGGATCTGAAGAATGAGTGAGTAAATGGATGGTCTGCATAACCGTCAACAATTTATTCAAGTCATATCCCAGCGGCTTTTACTCTGCCATTTCCAGGTCTGGCAAGTAACTGGTTCACTGCACCCCTTCCATGCAAATAGGATAGAATGGACAAAACCCTTTCTACATCCATAAGACATATCTGCTAAAAGCAGAGTCGATTGTACTATTGTGACTATATATCACAAGTATATACTAAACCACAAAAGAAACGTCGCTTTACAAAAACAAATGCAAAATTTTGTTCTTGCAAGGTGGTGTTTTAATTATGTTTGTACCGTTTTCTTAACATGTGTTTCAATGCAAATTGACAGTAATCACCAACATCAGTGTGTTTTCTGATGAAAACGCATATCGACCAAACGCACCGAAAAAGGCAGACATGGTAAAAGGTTCCGTATTCGTGAAAATGAAAATTCACGTGCATGTCCTGACAACCCTACCGATGAAAGCGGGTCCCAAGCTCGCCTGAAATCATTTTTGTTTTGACACAACCACCATGCCACGTCCTACGAGAGATCAGAGGAACAAAGTCGTGGGACGATTGCAAGTTGTACAGACTGCACGGAGGGTAGCCAATCATTTTAATGTTCATGTTAGGACAGCAGGAGTGGTATCAGGTCACTCAGAGCATTCAAGACCGTCAACGCAGTGGGCGACCTTCAGTAACATCACACCGTCAAGAATGACAGGCTGTGCGCAACCATCTGCAGGATCGCTTCCCCAGAGCGACGGAAACAGCACTCCAGAACATTTCTGACTCAAAACAGACCCATCAGTGCCGATACAGTGCGTCGACGTTTGCGCGGAAGAAACCTCTGCTGTGACAGATGATATAGTAGTTACCACCCAAACCAACCAAAATGGGCAACTCAGCATCAAAATTGAGGTTATCGACAATGGAGAACTGTGATGTTATCTCATGAAAGCCGATATTGTGTTTCGACAGTCGAATGCAGAGTGAGAGTATGGCGAGGGCGTGGTGAAATGTTTTCCAATGAGTGTATTGTTGAAAGAGACTCGTGGGGTGGTCCAAGCATCATAGTGTGGGGTGCAATCGGTCTGAACAGTTAGTTGACATCGTGGTGTTCCAGAATCTTGGTCCAGGATGAGGAAATGACATGACAGCTGCTCGCCATTGGTTAAATCATAAGACCCCACGTTGTACCACATTTTGGACGTTACAGAAATCACATCTTCCAGCAAGACAACGGTCGTGCCCACACTGCCAGAGCAACATTGGACTTCTTAAGACAACATGGCATCCAAACCCTACAATACCCTGCACTCAGTCCGAATTGAAGTCCATTAGAACACCTTTGGGACGAGATTCAAAGAAGACTGAATGGCCTCCAACCAAGGCCGACAACTGGGGCTGGACTCGATCATGCATTTCGCAGACTATGGACCCAAGACGAGGTGCCTATGGCCTTCATTGACTGGCTAATTCATTCCATGTACAGACGATGCAACGATTTCATCGATGCCCATGGGGGCCACACACGATGCTGACTTTGGGGTATCTTAATGGTACCATTTTGATTTTGTTTGTGTGAACTGTAAATGTGATTCCCGAAAATGTGTTAACCATAATCGTCAAATTTGAACTCAGTCCTCCGTTTTCATTGTTAATTAGAGTGAATTAAAGTGTGTGCTTTAAGAAACCCCTATCAGTGCGACATTTCTTTTGTGGTTCAGTATATTTGTTTCAGCAGTATTACAGCTGTACGGTGTTGTTTGTAAACATATCGAGCCTGGACCAGAAAATCCATTGACTGTCACCATGCGATCCGAAGACAGAGCATGTATTTATGAATCACTATGAAATAGTGATGATGAGCGTATCCTGTCCCATCGGTGGCACTCGTCATAAACATATGCAAAGTCCAGTCAATTGTTCTCCTGAAATAATTCGGGAATGTATGGTATAAGTCAAACTAGGGAATTGCATCGGACATTTTTATCGCTGATGCATCAAATTTGGAAATTCCCTCCACATATATACCAGAAAGCTTTACTGAGCCCTCGAATTATTTTGTAACCTTGATAAAACATCTTTTGAGCAAGAGTGGTATGACGCTCTTTGAAATCCTGATGAAGGTCACAAACTGTAACTACTTAATGCTCAATAGTTCAATGCTAATGCTTCCGTGATCGCAGTGGAAAGAGTGTCTGCCCGGAGAGCACACACACACACGCACGCACGCACGCACGCACGCACGCACGCACGCACGCACGCACACACACACACACACACACACACACGCACGCACGCACGCACGCACACACACACACGCACAAACGCATAAGCGCGGCGCTATACAAGTTCAATAATATTGAACATGACATTAAACCCCACCTTACGACAAGAGAGGGGTACTGGATCACATTGTGCACCGTATCGGACTGTAGAATAAACCTAGCTCTAAAAAAGGTTTATGAAGGACATCGTTTCATCATTGTAGATTAAACATAATAGTAACCTCGAGTTTTGGTTGTATAATGTCTCTGTTTCATCCTTCATACCACAAGTCTCAGTTGTGGACTCGCAGTGCGGGCTATCGTACTGATATATTACCTTCACTTGAGTATCACAACGAAAAGACAAAGACTGACTGACTGAGTTTGGTTTTAGGCCGCTTTTAGCAATATTCCAGCAACATCACGGCGGGGGACACCAGAAATGGGCTTCACACATTGTGCCCATGTGGGGAATCGAACCCGGGTCTTCGGCGTGTCGAGCCAACGCTTTAACCATTAGGCTACCCCACCGCCCCGAAAAGACAAAGAAAAGCAATGGTAGGTTTCCTCATTTTATTGAGAAAGTGGTCATTTGAAAACTAGAACCGTACTGGTCGTCTACAATGTAGAAACTATGTGAACATTGAAAGACTTGAACATATAACATAATGAGACGGGATGCACGACATGTATTTACGGAGACAGGAACACCGACTAGCATGGAGAACATCTTGTAGGTATATACAAGGAAACATCAGCCCTATCTGTCATAAACGCATTAGTGTGAAGAACGTGCGCCACGCTGGCGGTTTGTTTAAGCAGAATAGATGTCGTGTAATATATTAAGTTGAATGTACATAATAATGGTTTTCTCGTAGAATTGTTTTATTTTTGTGAATTTTTCAAATGGAGCTTGTGTAGATAATAGGAGAAAAGGAATGGAGGTCAATATGTATCTTGTTCATGAGATGATGTATTTGAAGCGTAATATATGTGCTGTGACAGGGTTATTATAAAGAGATAGTTATTTAAAGAGATGAGTATGGCTCTGTACGTTATCCTTACAAGGGTGTTCAGAACATTTCTATGTACAATTATCAATATGTCGTTTTTATATTACGAAATAAACTATTTAATCACAATGCAAACAGATAAATATAAATAACAAATAAATAGTATACTTATAATTTAGCAATATCCATGTGTACATATGACTGGTGAATAGCACTCCGGTTTGAAGCGGAGAAATGTAGCATTTGAACATGTACAGCTTATATGTGAATACTGAGTGGTACATTTGACATAAAATGTCAGTGACTGAATTATAGATACATGTTTAATATACAAAACTGATGGCTCATCACACAGTAACGTGTAAATAATACTGTAATCTGTTATCGAGTTTATTGCACAACCCCGTTTAAGCATACTATAATGCCCTCTGTGATGGAAAGGGTAATTTCAAAGTGAGTAGTCAAAGCCACTTTCATTAACATTTCAGCTAAATATTGAGGGAGAGGGGACCAAGAGGACCCAAATCGGTAACGTTTCGTGACCATGGTGTAACCAACGAACACATGTGTGTTGAAGACATACCAAGAACCACATCCGTGAATCTAGGGTTCGAACACAGACAAGTTGTATTGCGACGTTTGGCGCCATCGAGCACTAGAAGTTCAGTCCCCTGAATAATTTGAGTGACTGACAGTATGTTAGTACACTGCTTTTGGTCATATTCCAGCGATAACATGGCCAGGGACTACGCCAATGATTTTACTTTTTGGGAAATAAATATATGTACATTCTGAAATTTGACAGTTTGATTAAAGGGAGGCGAAGTGTGCCAGTTATGAATGTTCAGACGAAAAACATTTTACTTATTTTCTTTGAACCTGAGGTCTCTGGACAGAGAGAGAGAACATTTCGACTAGGTATAGTATTAACGTACGCTGTTTCACAACGCTGCACATAGTAACAACTGGCGGATGCAGTAGAAGGGTCTTGCAGTAGTGTCTAAACACGGTCAATATAAAGGTCACGGTTGGACTTGTACACATATAACAACATAGTATAATACCTGTTCGATAATCCAACGTATTTTGTCTCTATTCTTTTGTGAAAATATTACCTGAACCAATTCGCTGCAATCACTTATTTCACCCTAGTAAAATTACATGACGTTTAAAACAGCCGTCCAATTTTGTTACATTGAGCGACAGAAATTCTGCGCTACATCAGTGGTAAGATAGATTGGAATGGTGACGCTGACGAATGGCTCCAAGGTATTTATCAGAACAGAACAAGGTGTGATGGTGCCCTGTTTTATCGAGGATGAGTATAATGATACTTTTTATGAAACTTCTTCAAACCGAGAGCATCATGTTGGTCATTACATTCTTGGGTGAACTGGATGATAAAGGTTGTTGACTGGAAGATTGTATCTGTGGTTGTGAGACGAGGGTATACCCAAACAGCACTATCCAATACCGAACTGTATTTGGCACGTGTTACACAAACACCAACGTCAGTTATGATTGTCTGTGGGAATTCAAGATGGCCGCTAACTAAACTTGAGCTTGGTACTGTAGCACTGAGTTAGACAGGGCACCCGGATGTGTGTTGTTCATGCGCAGAGCTGTCAGACTTTTGTTGTACCAATCCTCTTCGGGATTTTCCTGAAACAAGAGTTGGACGCCATGAACATACATCTTCACATTCGATGTTATTGTAACCGTATAAAGTAAAGGCTTCTTTTGATGACCAGTATTGATTTTCTATTCACATACCATTATATACGACTGAAAACTAGACAATCTAGAATAACTACAGCCACATGAAAAAGTCAAGCTTTCTTCAACCTGGTTTGAGTAGTATTTATCCTAAACATAATTAACAATAAATCAGAATAGATTACAACTGCATACATCGACATGAAAGCTCTTTTCAACATGTAACAGTAATCAATATAGCTTTGGCAAAATTACACTCACAGACACACGCACGCACACACACGAGCACCCCTTTATATTTAGGATGAACCACGAGGGGGGATTTCTCGGAGAAACGGTTGGTTCATGAAATAATTGAAAACCATCACTCCCTTTGAATATCAAGTTGGAGGATCTGTACATGGGCATAGTTGAATGATGTCTCTGGACGGTGGTGCTTACCATCTGGCTGACGAGGTTGTAGTCGGTGGCCATGGGGAACTGCTGCACCTGTCGTGGCATGGCCATGGATGCCATGTTGGAACTCGGCATAGATCCCATCGAGGAGAACTGCGCCATGGCTGGTGAGTAGCCGGAGTTCATCTGAGGGTAGCGAGTCATGGTGTTCATGTTTACGTTGGCTGGGCTGGGGTAGGCGTAGGGGCGGCTGTTGGTGGGGTAGATGTTGCGCATCATGCCGTTGCAGGTGGGTATGACGGGCGACAGGGACTTCGCCAGCTGTTTTTCCTGTTTGCGGTATTTAGCACGCCGGTTCTGGAACCACACCTGAAAACCAAGGAGCGTGTTTAGGGCGACCATTGGCAGGACCAGCAAGTGTGATGTAAGTCATTCAAACAATACCCGTTGATAGTTCATTCGTAAACGCAAAGTGTATGATTTATAGCAATGTGACATTGAATGGTCAAATCAATAAAGCCACAAGACATGTTTCACATCACTTCCACATTATATATATGGCCAGTTGACAGGAAAGTTTTCTTTCTCTATTTTAAATACCTAAAGGTGACATGCTCTTGTTTGGAAGCAGCAAATGAAAGAAAACAACCGGTGACATTAAAATATGAGTGGGTAGTTTATATCAACAAGGAAACCTTACCCTAAATTGAAAACTAAAGTTTAAATATGCGGATTCAAAAATATATGTATTATGTATTTATTGGGTATTGGCTTGTTTTCTGTTAGCAAGTTTTTATTTTGTTATTGCCTCTATCGTCGTAAAGAGACACGATAGTGGATAAATTACAGCTCACAAACCCTTAACGTTTTACTTCAGACATTATTTCGCAAACCATGCCTGTTTAAGAGGCGACTAACGAGATCGGGTGGTCTTTAATGCATGTCGTCGTATCCCATGTGTGTACCCCAATCGGTACACACGATTGCAGTCAGCCCAGATTATATTAATTACAGACACATTGCTGTAATTTTGCGGGGTGCAGCGTTAAACAACTGACTGAACAAAACAAACTTCAGAAAGCAAATTAGAAGTAGACATTTGTTTTCGAAATGACCATCTGCAACACGATGACATCGTAGTTGATATAATTTCAAGTGACATTTTCTGAATATTTCACATGTCATAATAATTATGTCTATATCTCGCAGGAAAACATCTTTGAGCCTTCAAAGCCCAGTGAAACTGGCTGTTGCAAAAAGTGTGACTGTCGTGTTTTGATGTCTGCTGGCTGTAAAGACAAAATCAATATGAGCAGCCGTAAGATGAATCGCCTTTTATATTAAACATCAACAACATCAAATCTATCATCTGTTAATGGACACAAATGCCAGGAAAAAGGACTTTGTTTTTGGTCATTTAGAATGCTCCTCACAACCCATCGTGGCGATGCTGATGAACAGACCACACGTTTTGACCAGCGGCACGAATCTTGGGGAGGCCACACTCTGACGGCAAACAATTCACGCTTCTGGTCAGAAGTCCAAAGGGCTAACGCCGTGCTCCCCACACCACAAACAGAAGCAGAAGTGTTGCTAATAGGACATGGAGCGGCTATGATTCAGGCTCGGGATGTCAGAGGGGGGTCCATTGATTCCACAAGCTAGCAGTTTCAGACAACTTGGTTAAAGTCCTCGGTATTGATTTGCATTATTGTGGAGTTGCCGCTACTCCACGCGAGACTGCCCCGGTCAGGAGGGTGGGTTAGTTCACTCCTTGGGTCAGAGGACGTAGCGTGATCTGTGAACAGACACAGCCCTCCTCGGGAAGCTCGCCGTCTACGAATAATGGACCATTGCATGAGAGATTCCTCTCACCTCATCCACGCCATTTCGTGGAAGTCGCCTCTTTTCAGCTCTTTGGAAATCTTGAAATGTCTTAGTAATCAAATTATGTTCGAAATTGATGTTTCCTAGTCATTTGGGTGTCTATTCAGCTTTTCAATTAACGTCCTTTGTAAATAGCTCTATTATGAGCGATAACTATGACCAATCTACACCTGCCCACAAGCCGGTCGATAGACCTCGGGACACGCTCCACGTGTGAGCACGTGCCAAAAATTAACTGCCGTACAGACGTGCGGTTCATACCGGTTGTAATTTATTTGATATTAATTAATCTAAGCAGATGTTTATGGTCCTACTTTCACATTCCTATACACTGATCGATATGTGGCCATTAAGTAAACAGGGAGGCCATTTGAGCCATTCCCCGCCAAAACAGCAATCCATCTCGACTTTAAGAGGCAAGCAGACGATAGTTGTGGATCTCGAGCAGACGGCTTGGGACTTGGCCCGCGTGCAGAGGAGATGTTGAAGGCAGGGGCGCGACCAGGTCTCGCGTGTTGTGTCATCAGAGAATTGGACACACAGTTGCCCGAAGACAGAAATTTGCAAGCTTTATGAAGCACAACACTCGCATTGAATTAGAAGTACCATGGCGAGGGGTGGTGGCTCATCGCGGTGGAAGCTGAAGTCATAATGTATTCCTCTCATCGCCTTCGCCGTCTCCTGAGAACCTCGGGCGTAATGAAAATTGACAAAGTCGCTAATGGAAAAGTCTTTGAAGATCGTGGCACTGCTTCGACGCTCTGTGTGCAAAATTCCCCCTCCATCGACCAGAGTCGTACGAGAAGAGCAAGTGTTCGTCATTTGCGAAATCCAATTTCTACTTCCCCCAAAGCATCAGGATTGCCAAATACTATCACATAGAGGCGATGCCAACTTCGTTAGAATCTAAATGCTCACAAACTCATTTAAACATTTTGCAATTGACTGCACCTACCGCGCTTGTTATGGAATTAATTTTGGCGAATTGTTAGGGTCGGATCGGTGTAAATTGTTTTAGTCTCGTGTGGTAGACGACATAAAAGATAAATAAGATTTATCATGGATACGGGGACTATTGATCCTTCGACCTCGCAGCCGAAAAATGATGCTGATTTATATTATATTCGTCTCGTTTGATGATGGCAAATCTGCCCCCCGACACTATAGGTTAGCAGTCACATATAGGAAGCCGGCCAAGCGCTTATATACCTTGTTCACAGCCAGATGGCAATCTACGCCGTATTTGTGGCGACTGATTTGGGAAAATCATTACGGGTTTATATTGGGAAAATCATTGAGGGTTCTCACAGATGTACTGGATCAACCTCCAACAAGAAAGGGAATAAAAATGAGATAATTTCATAAAATGGACATAACTAATAACATTTACCGTTAAGGTTCATAAGTCATCATCTATTGCACACTGCGTTAACCTTTCTAACCACGCCCATACAAACCAACACCAGGCGATGATACCACTTTGTGTCGGTCATGTATTATTTATAATTGGCTATTAGGGAGTAGTCTGCTATCGGAACTGCAGTCCTAGTCATGTGAAAGGAATCGTATAATATTCTGTTTACACTTCTGTAAATCTTCATTATGACACAAGTATACAAATTCGAAATGATGATACACAAGGAAAGGGTATCAAAAACAAAATTAGATTAAATGTTCTTGTAATGTTTTATTCCTAAAACATGTGTATAGATATTTTAACTCTTAAAAAGTTTATTTTCTAAAAACTTAAACCACATCAATTTTGTATTCCACAAACGAGTTCAACAAAGTCACCGTTGTCCTTCTAAATAAAACAAACAATCACACTTATTTCCAATGTAAAAAAAAGTAGAATATTTTTTTCCTAGAAAGTTAGTTTTCGACATTTCTTGTTAAATGTAGGAGATAAAATAAGACGTAATTGTGGACTTTCCATTAAACCCAAAATTGTTTGACGTTTCGTGATCGTTTTTCCATGAAGCATCGCGCACAAGAATCCCGTTTTTACAACAAAGAAACATTAAAGTATTAACTCTCGGTGTGCTTAAAGATATCGAAGAATATGTCAGGAAGAAATCAAATTTGATTCTTTCAGAAACTAAATCCTCAAACGATTCTGAATTTAAGTTCAATTTGTAGCGTGTTTTATAACGCTATTCTTTCACTTCATATGACGTGTTCGTAATGATTTCGTCGATGCTTTTTGGTCCAGCTTGAATTAAAAAAAACATCGAAAAATACGTTTCGATCGATAAACTCCAAAAAACAACTTGCTCATTTCTTTCGCATTTCGACCAAGGACTTGCTTAGGGCGCTCAGGAACTCACAATTTTCCAGGGGCCAAAAAAATGTTACGCGTCAATTTTGAATAAGTTTAAAGTAATAGGGTCGTCGGGAGAAATTCCGGTATGCAGGAAGCGATACTGCGCTAGTTTTAAACCCTGAATTTAAATTCAAAATTGAATTTTAAAGTACTAACAGTTTGCTTTAAATTACAGAGTCGTGAGTTAAGTAGTTGGGTTTATTTATTTCGAGTTATTGTGTACTGTACTAACGTAGTTTTCACTAGTTTGGGGCATGGTGAAAATATAAATGTAAGATTTCGTTTCTAAATTTGGTTTGTTGCCGTTTTCATTATGTTTCAGAGGAGCTACTTGTTAAGTTTTTGAAACTGTTTATCATCTAACTGAATGTGCCATGAATATAGACTAATTGCTACAAGATCACAGGCTTGAAAAAATAGTTCACGAAGCTCAAAAGTATTAATGTGTGTTTTTAAACGCATGTTTGAACGACTAAAAAATCTAACGTGACTAATAATATGCAGATAACATAATGGCAACACTCTTACACGAACAGATTTGCATTTATCATTGCTCAGGAAAACTCGAAACTGTTTTGTAAAATATTTTACTTTTTACCTCAGATCTTTCGAGTTTTAAACGTTGATGTTTTATGTACTATATTCTTCATCTGTACCCCGAAATCCTGGCGTATCATACGATCTACTGTCATATGCTTGTACAATATATTCGATGTGTAGAAGTTTCTGGCAGTGCATAATTACTCAAATAGGTTATGCCATACAGGTATTTTCTAACAAACCAACCCAAAACCCAATATTTTCTAAAACAGAACAGAACACATTTATACGTTAGAGCATAACTTTGAGTAGCAGTAATTTCAGAAGCATGTCTGTCAAAGTAAAGACAACATTCTTCGACTCATGAAGGCATAATATTACAATCCTCTCATTTTTAGACACATTTTGCAAATGAATTGGAGTGAGTTATAATGGATTCACGTCGCGTTTAGAAAATATTTTATGGCGCGGGACACAAGAAATGAGATTCACGATTCGTAACTTAATAGGAATCGAACCGAGGCTACGGCGCGACTAGCTAACGCTTTGTCCACTAGCCTATACTTTACGTATTTTGAGCATCTTCAAGTAAATCGACAACGTACGGTTGTTTTAAACA